AAAGAGTGTAGACAAGAGATACAAGGGATCAGGAATAATCACAGAGTAAAACCACCACCACTGCAAAACTGAAGATGACATTAGAAGCGCTCTGTAAACAATCTAATTTTGCTTTTGTGCTTCATGGTACAAACACTTAGCACCTTGGATAGGTATCCCTTTTTACTTTTTAGCGTACATCTCACCATCTAAATTTGGTCAACTATTATAAAAAAGAAGTGGAACGAAGCCAAGAAGGATACAGTGGTATTAAGGAGGAAGGCAGTAAGATAGTTTTATGTTAGTTTTATGTTTAGCCGCCCTCTCACTCTCCAGCACTATAGTGGAAGAACTTTTGGGAGATGAGTACTGCATCCCGACTACTTTGGTTAGTACCTAAATTAGTTGGCGTCAGATTCGGGTATTTTAAGCACCTAATGGCTAATACAGGCCATCAATTCTTCTGTTTCACAGCATAATTTGGACAACAGTCAGAAAGATTATTTCCTTCAAGGGTATATTTGTGCAAAAGGTGCAAGTTTTGTTTAGCCCCTTCCTCAGTCAGAGCGAGCTAGTAGTCTGAACTACCAGCTCTCGTCCCACAGAGGTCTTCATCACAAGTTGAGAAAAACTAGAAAGAAAACTAGCTTGGACGAAACACGCAGTTTGTTCAACATGTGAAGAAGAAAAAAACCATGAAAGATAACTAGGCATTTTAGTGTATATAAGCATTAGCATATTCCTCAGTACATAAAATCCTACTCCCTTTTCTAAGTAGGGTTCTTAAGTAGCTATGTTCTTGGCACATCCTGGGGCATTCTTGTTACTAAGTTTATTTTAATCCATATGCAAGCTAGTAACCGTATTTGCAGAATATTTCACTCTTCCTTTCCTCCCATTATCAAAGACTCCACCCTCAGTTTTACCATAAAGCGAGCGTTAGGAAACTTCCAATATTCATTGAGTATTTTTCTTCGCATGCGCACACATAAGCAAAGTGGACAGAAAAGGTCACAGCCGTATGGACTGGAATGAAAGTTATCCACATCCCAAGACGACAGGCAAGAAAGCAAGTTTCAACTCTAACTCAGCATGTACCTGCCACGTTTCAGCAAAGTTACCACACCTGCCTGTAGCAGCACTGTTTATTCCAATACATGCACGCTTACATACACACATGCAACAAAACACCACCAAGTGGAACGCATTTCCATCTAATTAGAATTACTGCCAAGGATCTCATCCTGCCTGCAAAATACTCAGAACCTGCATTCTAGTAGCGGTCAAAACAAAAACTAATGTCTCCTGAATATACGGGTATGAAACTTCGAAAGTTAAAGCAACTGTTCAGGGAATAACTGCAGCAGTCTGCTTTGTAAGGGACAAAAACAGAAAAATCCCACCCACAAGTCCCTCAGCAAATTCCACCACACCTTGTCGGAAATTCAGTGAGGACTGCAGACCAGTTGGCATTTATGAAGAAGAAACATACGTAGCACAACTATGTTTTTTCATCTGTTTACTAGGAAATGTTTTAGAAGAGGTGAGTAAACACCAGCACCCCTGCTTCACAGGAGGAGAAGCTGATGGAAAGCAGTTATGACAGCAGCATGTTCAATCAATAGCTAGGATGGGAACTGAATCCCAAGCAGCTATCCCTGTCAGCTGGACATCGCTGTGCATCCAAATACATCAAGGCAGCATGAAACAGATAAAACGATTAAACTGCTTAGGGAAGTCAAGATTCTTTTCTCATGCCTCTCAACTGAAAGAAATCCCACAGTAAGCAACACACTATACTTCTCACCCTGCCTAAAGGTCTGAAAGGAATCAAGAAAACCTAAACCACTGAAGATTGTATTTAAGGAGGCTGTAACACAAACATACCACCTAGTGAAACAAGAAGTCCTAAAGAACTGATGAAGCGACACTTTGAGGCAATAAAGTGAAGTTTTAACACTTGAGTTCTGACAGTGTCATTGCACTTGACCAAAATATCATAATGATGCTCACGGAAATCATTAGGTAAGGAATAACATCACGGTACTTTACGCAGGCAGAATAACCCCCTCTGTCTCACAGCCGCGGTAGATCCCTTTACTCTAGCCTAACGTGACCTCCGCTCCCTACAGACAACCCCACAGCACGCTCTCTTTCACTATTAATACACTTTACGTTTCAAATAAAACATATATAACACACAGATGGGCTATACATTTAAAATATTTAAGTCAAGAGAAAGCCCAAAGCAAAATATAAACATGGTATTAATCCTTTTGCGCAGAGTGTCAGAATTTTCTAGTTCACAGCCAGTAATGGACACAAACTGCTGGCTCCTGGGAATTATAATGCGCGTATGGGATAACCATTAGAACTGCAGGTAGCTGTTCAAAGACTTAAACTAAGCCCTCTCTTTACCCTTTTGTTTGCCCATTAAACTAAGTATACAGGAGCAAGGAAAACCCATGTGAATGCCTTTTACCAATTTAGGGGGTGTCTAGAGAGCGTTACAGAGTGCTCTAGAGCAGCTGGTAAAGGCGGCAAGACCACTCAGGGGAGGTGGGGGGAAAGCCTTGGGAAAGGTCGAGCTGTTTGTGAAATAACTCTGCTCTGAAAGCAAGAAAATAACAGTTTGGACTGGGTGTTAGCCTGCTGCTGTGCTGCTGGAGGACAGGAAACTTTGCTCAGAAACTCCAAAAAGCATATCAAAACGGAGCTCATCCGAAAAAAAAAAAAAATCCAAACAAGTGGAGAAGGAAGACAAAAAGCTTCATTTAAAAATGTGCTCAATCTCACAGCAAGACAGCACAGCATCAGAGGGAAAGCAGGCATGTTAACAGCAAATAATTTTTCTTTCAAGCCTGAGACATTTTTCCTTTTTGATAGAGAACTCTTGAGGCCGGGGGGGGGGTGGGTGGCTAAACTGGTTTTCCTCTAAGCACTGCCAGTTATAAAAAAAATCCACTTGCAAAGAACATATCCACTGTTGTACAACTGTCCCAGAAAACAAAGACCACGGGGAGAAAGTGGCCCATTTTCTTTAGTCTCCGAGAACCCTGTGTACAGGTCATGTTTTCAAAGGCTTTATCTTACACATTTCAGAATGAAACATCTCTTAAAATACATGAACAAACATTTAATGTTAGAATTACTAGAATATCTCATTTTTTGGTACCATACTAAAATTGACTCACTTACTTGAATGCTAGCACACAGTCAATGACACCAATTGCAATAGTAAATAATCCTGTGTTTAGATACGAGCGAGTTTCCTCACTCAGGACAAGCTGTATCAAAACCATACGACCCGTTTTCTATTTAAATTATAATCATCCTGCCAGTGTATCAAGCACAATAATATTTTTCAGAAACATACGTTTGGGAGTTCCAGTAAGAACTGTTTTGTAGTTCTCAGTCTGGCCCGTGGGGCAACCTCTACCCATTTCATCTCAGTTCCCAAAAAACACCTTAAAGCAATAATTCCTCACCACATGCTGAAAATATTGTGACTAATAATACACTCCACCCATTTTTCCATCACTAAGAATTTCAAAATGTAGAACTTGACAAACAGCGAGTGAACTCAAAGAAACAGAATTTAAATTGGTAAAGTCAAATTTTATTTCCAATTAAAAGGTGTTATAAAATAAAAACGTTCAAATAAGGTACTGATAGAAGTGGAAGAGCTATACAGTCACTGAAAGCTTCCTTCTTAAAATTACATTTTCCTCACTCTTCTTTGATTGCCTAGTTTTTCCTTTTAACCCCTCTCTCCCCATTTAAAAAAAAAGGAATTAGGAAAAAAAAAAAAAAAGCTCGCTCTCCTTTTTCAGAAAATACATTCAATACATTAGCAGTGGAGATGCTCTCTGTATACACAGAATCCGCACTTGTAATGAATACTTTATGGAGTGCAAGAACTGGGACCTAGATCTATATTCCAGTGACTAAATGCTAAAAATGATGTAAGTGATGCAATTAAAATGCATATAAAACTTTGGCACAGGTGTCCACAGTAACACTGTTTGCAAAACACATTTCCTAATTAGCATAGCTTTAAACAATGCTGATAATAATCCGATCCTGTAATCCACGCCAAGTGAATCATTGAGATTGCAAAATAAAAGGCATGAGGAATTCATTAAAGAACTGTTAAACTCCCCTTTGTTTGTCTTCTCCTCGTCAGGTGCAAATAAATAAATATTGTTTTATATATCTGGACGTCTTCAGGGCGCTCAGCTTCACAATAACGCACCAGTAAAGCGCCTCCTCGGGAGGCACCAGCATTTTTCCCCCCCCCTCCGTTTTAAAAGGAGAAATCCTCCCACTGTAACAGTCCTGAAAAAATCTGCTCCATTCTCTGTTTGTCATCGGGGATTGAGTTATCAGACGCTACTTGTATTACTTTGGGAAGTGACATGTCTATTTCCAGAGACACAAAGGCAAGGCGGGCGCGCAGCCCCCGCGGGCGCGCACCTCTCCTTCGCCCCTCGGCCACCTTCGCCGTGCACTTTTTCGGGGGGCTGGGGGGTAGGACACCTCACTAGTTTCTCTGCATGCCAGAGAGCCTTCCCAGCCACTTTTGCACTTGTTACGGCCTTATTTAAAAAAAAAAAAGAAAAAAGAAAAAAAAAAAAAAAAAACCCACCTATGCCCACCAAAAGCCACAGCGTTATTTCTCAAGCGGTTTTTTTGTTTGTTTGTTTGTTTTTTTAAAGAGGGTCACATCCCCCATTTCAGCCTGCAATTAAAATGGAGGCAAGGCCAGGCGATCTATGCCTGGCTTTAGGGGGAGACAATAACCCAAAACAGGCCTGGCTAGAGAGAGAAAGAGAGACAGAAAGAGAGAAATACAGCATGCTTCACCAGCATTATTACCTCATCCCTTTTTCCAAGCAGTTTTGAACCACACTCCTGACAAACTCTTGGTCCAACTTGCACAGATGCTGATTTTTAGGGGGCGGAAAGGGTTTTAATTCTGGAGCCAGGACCGAGCCTTGCCATTTGCAAGTGGA